TTGCCTTGAAAAATTTGTAGTAGGCAGAAAAAAAGTTAGCATTGTGATTTCAAAGTATTTTATTCATAGATATGGATGACATAAACGCTTCTCGACTTTTACATTCATATACGTAGCCATGATCATTTGCTCTTATCGACCATGTCAATTCTTTAAAATTTAGAGCGCTCTGTTAGATTTCATTGTTAAACTTCTTGTTAAGCTGGCATCGGAACACGTTAAAAAAGACATATGGTCTAGTCGTAAGGCGGGTGGTTGATGGCTCGAACATAGTGTAATGTTCAAGAAACGCTAAAAACAACTTTGTGAAAAAGCTCTGAATTACCTTAAACACACATAGAAAGAAAGCACCTCAAAGCACACCAACAGAAAAGGGGTGCTAAACTCGAGGAGAGCTCTTGGGAGAGTTATGAGATCAGGAAAAAATTGAGATAGTCATGTATCCTACTAATTAACTGCATAGTATCGTGTTCTGCTGGATTCGCGAAATAACAACTTCATTTCGAGATAGGCACAAAAGCGTTGATATAAAGATAAAGGATAAAGCTTCCGGCGTCGATCAATCCTTGAGAGATGCTCTATGCATTCGACTTCATTAAGCATCGTTGGAGGTGATTGAGTGCATATTTAGCCTTTACAATGACTCGTGGTAGCCTACCGATGTATCGAGCCAGTGCTGCTATCCTCCCAGAGAAATCTGGTACCAATTTGCCGACCCCGGAGGGATGGAAGGCTTGGTGGGGCAGAGGCGCGGGGATCGATTCCACGTGTGTCGCAGTGGCGTCTCCAACCTCTGCGCCACACGTGCTCATTTGATATAAAGATAGAGACGAAATTTTCGACTTACAGCTTTACTTTCATATGATGTGGGCATCGAAGCTTAAAACTTTATATGGAGCCAAAGTAAGAATTCAAACAGATAGAAGTGAAGTCATATTTTGAAAACCTAACAAATACTCACCATGTAGCCATAGCTTTATTGAAAAATCTTGCAGTTCTTCTATTGCTCTCCATAGTTTCTTAAACTTTTCGATTTAAACTGGTGACCGAGTTTATGTAGTATGAGGACATTATAGGATGGAGGTAGTGGTACTTGTGAAATTGGTTTCTTGATAAACGATTTAGGAGGCAGTTCTGGAACATTTCAAGGTTTTCTGCAGTTTCCTTTGCTGTCCTTCTGTGGATCGAATTTTGTGAACATAGGAAGAAATTCTTTCAGTCAGTTACATAAGACAATTGTGGTATTTCGTGACAATGTCATCAACATCTAAGCCGTTCGACGTGATTCCGTCATTTGACGTCGTGGTGTCGAACTTCAAAAGGGCATAATTGTCGTCGGTGATGGAAGATAGAATCAACGTTCACATCATAATTATAACTTCTTCTGAGATGGCAGTGTGTCGGAACCTTTCATTAACAAAGTGGCGATCAGTTCTTGTTCTACGAAAGCCAACAATGTGATGAGGCTGTTCTAATCGCTAAGAATGAACGTAGGATTTATTCAAACCCTATCAAAAATTTCACTATCGTAAAATCTTCTTTTACAGTTATCATACTGTTTCATTTGGTTTGTTTTTGTATGGTTGAATCTTATTCCCTTAAGGAATTCTTTATATACCTTAGTGCTACCTCTATACAAGTAACCCTAACTCTAATGCCTAATAGAAGCTATTCACATTAAGGTTAGTAGTATACAGGTGCCACCAAGGTTAAAAACTCTAAGAAGAATCTTTGGTCTCGAACATATCTGCTTAGAAGCCATTCTGTTTTTATTAATCACTGAAACGTAACTGTAGTAATGTACCACTGAACAAACTTTGTTGTGTTTGCTCAGTCAGCTCAGCATGGGAGAGACAACATTATAATGTTTACAAACAGAACTATTTACTCAAGAATTAGCTCTGTTCCATTTCGTATACAACAGCTGCTATATATCATATTGTATAAAAAAGTGCTAGTTATAGTTTTCGTCCGATTTTTGAACAGAACCATGGGTGCATTGCTTATAAAACTTCCTCGGTGACGACAAGGTGGGATGATGGTAGAATCTTATTAGTTTAAAGAGAACGTGAAAAAGTTTATGGCAGCTGTAGGTTTACAATGGAATTGCTTTTTTTTATAATAACACTTACTACCTTTATTCAGTGAGCGGATGCAATAAATTGTTGGATGACCTCCAATTTATGACTGTTTAGTAGTTCGGGCAGTGGAAGTGGTTAGGGCGGGAAGTGTTAAGAGTGGCTCCTTTTGTTGCCGACTGTATACGCAACATGGACAATGTCCTTTGATATTTACGAGAGTTATGTTCGTGAATATGAACGGACCGATAGAGGTTGAGTACGGTATGCAACAGTGTTAAGGTACTAAATTGTTGATTTACGATTTCGATACGAATCGGATGAGAAGGATGGAATGGATCAAATTGGACAGTATAATGTAGTTGAAGGGTTGCATATAGTTGGAACTTAGCTATCGAGTGATCCTTTGTATTAGTAAATGCCTGTGTAGTTGTCGGCGACCAACATTACTTACAATTCCACCTGTGCGATTGAGTAATCCCGTAGAGCACCCGGTAAACATCTGTCCGTGAGTGTTTAGTTACTCTTTTCATATCTTCCACTCCATCTTACCATCCCGATTGTCACCACCTGCTGTGTTCTGCGTCTCTAGGATTACCGTACATATTGCCATATTGCTAACTATTCATAAACCACCGTCACAGATCACATTTCTCATCTGTCTGTCGTTCATGTAAACCAAATAAGTAGTAATGAAGTAGTTCTGTAACAGTGCCGCGCTATGTCGACAGTGCGCGCCATGTTGTGAGCAGTCATTAATATGGTTTATTGAATGGAATGCTTAGGATGATGATGTGTTCGATGCTTTGGATATTATTTATGAAGAAGGTGATAGAATACCCACACAGTTAAGGATTTACGAGCTGGCCTAAGCCTATATGTACATAGTGCTGAGCTCTTCATATGTTAATTGATGCATAAGTAGTAAGATTATTTGAGACGTATGCGGGAGATGTCCCTTCTAGCTAGAGGCGTACTTCTGATTTTTATACAACTATCCTTTTTTTTCTATTCAAAACACGCAATCGATCGATGTTATTCATTTCTTTATCCCCTACCAGCTCTATTACTTGTAATCCAATTAATCATCGGGTGACTCAAACACGTACCAGTAATCTATTCAGTGGGTCTCGCTCTCTTGAGGCTGTGAAGAACCCCGAAACACATGCACGCAGATCTGCTTGACAAGATATCACTCGTAGGTAGGAGTCAACGCTGGACTACTCAGAATCGGAGACCGCGCCAGGAGCTTCTTGATGTACATTGCAGTTTATCACCCAGGAATTAGCCACGACGAGGTAGCAGCCTATTAGAACTATTAGGACATGGATTACTTCTTCCGTCAATTTCTTCGTCGTCTATTCAAGTTCTTTAGTTACCAAATTTTTTTTTCGAACTCCGTGTCACTCGTTTCTTATCCTAGCAACTCCACTAATCGCATCATATTTTCGCATTTTTCCCCAATGACCCCATTTTCTCTTCTAAAAACCTCACGAGCACTCAATTTCTCAATGATGAATTGATGAAGGCACAACGCTCGAAAACACTTATGAATAGAAAGAGTGCGGTAATCAAATTTCATTAAGATGACCAATTGAGAAGCGCGCTTAGTGGGCATGATTAGACAATTAATGATTCGGCTTGTGTGCTCCGTTGTCCACTTTACTTATTTACTAAATTTCTGTACATTTCTCAACCTTCGAACTATGGCAAATGGATAGAATAGATTCAGTTCTAAAGATCATTCAATAAAATCCTTTGTCAGGAACGCGAAAAGAACAAATGAAACAGTTTGTAATACTGAAATATTTAGTAAAGATTTAGCTGCAGTATGCCGAAATCAAAGGGACGCATGTGGCGCTGTGCTCGGAGGCGCCCTGCAGTGCACACTTGGGATAGATCCCCATGCCGGTGGCTCACCAAGCGTTCTTTCCCTCTGGGGTCGACAAATTGCTAGGTTAACAGAAAGTCGGTCATGGGAATTATATTCATTCCATTCAATCAGTGAAACAAATTCACTCAGATTATGTAATCACTTTCTATTTACTGCCCATTCTTCTTTCATGGCAAAGTATAATGTGAAACATTATTATTATTATTTCTAATTAATGGTATTAATAATAACATTAAGGGCGCATGTGACGCAGTGGTTGGAGGCGTCACTGCGACACACACGTGGAATCGATCCCCGTGCCCATGGCCCACCAAGCCTTCCATCCCTCCGGAGTCGGTAAATTGGTACCAGACTTGTCTGGGAGGATAGCAGCACTGGCTCGATACATCGTTAGGCTACCACGAGTCATTGGAAAGGCCAGATATGCATTCAGTCACCTCCAAACGTTGTTTAATGAAGCCGAATGCATCCATCAGGATTGATTAACACCGAGAGCTTTATTTTTTATTTTAATAATAGTAAAATAACACAATGACATTAATATTTCACTCAGATTATTTCTCAAAAACTGGTCTCGGTAAAACTCTTTCCGTGGTTTTCAGTTAAATCAAAATCATGAATGAGATATCCACAAGACACGTGACTATCTCGATAGTTCTTATGTGGGTGTGGGGAAAAAATGACCTTTACAGAAATTCATTCAGGATTTCAGTTGTATAGCGTTTTAGTGACCCATGCCAATCGTAAACTTTGCTACAGAAGAGAAACGCTGTCTGGGGAGCTTCTGGTATACTCAGATCTGGTGGTAACAGCTGTTCCACTTCTAGAACATCAGGTTGTAGTACTGTGAGATGAAAACGAAAACAAATTGAAGAAAAAGCCGGAATGGCGTGAACTCGCACTGAACATTTTCTCGTCTGCATACGGTAGTTTGCCGTTCGGGACCTCGTGTTGGTGATTTGTCGATGTAAATGATTATCGAGGTAAATATAACATCTACTAGCTGGTAGTAGTCGTCGATTTTAACTCATATTTCTTGCACATGCATTTTCCAATTAGTGGCTGGAACAAAATATCTGGGCATGATAGGATTTCATAGCAATACGAGCACTTTAATAGAAAAGATTCAACAATAAACAAGTTTTAGTGGAAAACCTTTTCTTTTACTGAGTAAATAACTCGCTCTGAGCTTAACATGGGCGATTTATGATCCACCTGGAGTTATTTTGGCATTAAAGCTTATTAATCTTAGGAGAACGAATCTGAGCCTTGTTAAGAATGTGGGTGCTTTATTTTCAGAGTTGAACGATTTGCAGCAATCGGTGACTCGTTGGATATTGTATGCCCGTACTACGAACCTGAGATGGACTCAACAACCGCCGAACAAAGTATCATCTACAGGGTTAGAGAAATACTACAACGATGTTGTTTATATTTTAGCCTATTTTTTGTTATATTTAGGTAAGCGAGCGCGACTACCAGAATTGTATACTATCACCATCGGCTCGGGAACTTGGTCGATGTATATCACCCATGCGAAGGGATAAAGTGAAGGTGTCATTCAGACTTATGAGCCCGAATCCGTCGGCTTTAGACTATCGGCCCGGACATACATACTATTTTATATGTGAGTTTGAATATCTGTGAATTACTGTTTTGAAAAAAGAAGTTAAACCATTTCTTGAACTTTTGACATCACCGCATTAGTTCGTGATTTTATGTGTGTTGTTATCTTGAAAAAAAATCCTGTTGATAAGTTATGAGATCAGCATGTTGATCAGATACATATCGATTAAATTCGTTATAGCAACATCTACTGGAACGGCTCTTGGTCTGAACAATAAATACGGTGGTTTATGTGCTAGTCATAATTTGAAGATGGTCATACATGTGACTGAGAAAAATGGCGACACCAGTGGTGAGATTATTTCTGGAGTGGATTCTTATCCGATTTGACATGTTGTTTTTTTCTGGAAAACTTCATTTAGTTTATGAATTTTAAGGTCATATTCATCGGTCACATAAAAAATTACTTACTACTACTTCAAATACAATTGTTTCCGTTGATGAGCGATGGTCATCGGATCCACTATGGGGAGAATTTTTCGAAAAGGTTGGTATGTCGGACATCTGTCCGAACAGATCGTACCTACACAAGCTTTCATAGTTCTAACATTTGAATATTTATCTCTATTCGCTTAGTTTCAACAAAATTTGTTAAGGTTGGACGACATGAGAACAATATCTGGCCTACTGTAACCAGAGGCGAACGGCTTTCCCTTGATGGTGGCAGTAGGCGTCACGAATATGAAGCTCTTTCTTTGGGTGATGAAATCGAGTTCCAGATTCATGAGATTGGAGATGGTAAGCCATATCTTCCCAATCCTTTTATATAATTACTGCAGCGGTTGAAGTGAGGGTTTGGTCCGGGTTTCTTTATGTAGACTATATATTTGTTCGATTTCAATGAACTCAGCACATATATGAGACGGAAATATGGTCTTTTTAAATGTCGTTTGAAGCTAATAATTGTAATGATGCCAAGATATTAGCAAAACTCCGGACCGCAGGTGTTTGCGGTGGAGAACGGCGGCTTATAATTGTCTCTGCATATTTTATTCTCTGCTTTTGAATAGATGCAATTACAATAGACAGCCATTTCAGTGGAAAGCCTCTTCTCATTGGGACCTCGGCCAGCGATCACGGCAACATTGGTAGTGATAGTGGTGTTGATTTTCGTATTATAATACGGTCGTCAGCTTTAATACCGTATAGTGGATCAGCCACAACGGGTGGATAACGGGTGATATCCGGATCAGAAGCGAAATCGTGCTCCGAGCCCTTATAACCGACTGTGATTTTTTTCTTCTTTACGGAAAAAATACGTTGTATATATTATGTAATTAATGCTGTTGTTAAGCAGAAATAAAATTTTATATGACTTTCGTCCGCCTTTGATGAATCGCTCCCTGTTGAGCTCAGAATCGTTCGCAGTGTGATTGATCGCTTTACATTATGAGTCCTATAAATTTTCTTTTAATCATTGAGAGCCCTGCCCCTGCGCAGAATTAACTATCAAAAATGAACATTTTCGTAAAATTACGACCATAGGAAAGCCATTTTTTCGATGTTGTTTAGGTTTGATGTTTATTGAAAAACTTGATCTAGCTATCCAGAAAATAATGGAGAGTCACGGATTTGTGGTTAGCGGTTCAGAAGTGATTGATTGGCTACAGTGGCCACGATTCGATAGCTCCTGAACAGCTGCCACAAAAGTGAAAGCTTACAGTTACAACTATCTGGGAGAAGAGTCCTTAAAATGTCTGAAATATCCAAATTAATAATTTCATTTTTTTTACCGTGTATAGATTTCGTCAACCGTCAACCAGTGAACTATCGGCATAATTTTGTGTAACAAAATGAAAGTAAGCGTGTTCAGCAGCGAATATTTCTTGGCCAGTTGATGAGGATTAGTATTTACCTGCTATAATGCTTTTCGGGCGAACCACGGACATGAAACTCCTTCCAAATCCCGAAGCCTCCAGCAACTAACTTTTGTTTTACCACACTTTTTTAAACTGGTATTTGCAATTGTTTAACATGAAATACCAAAATAAAGTCGGTGATCAGATGATTACTTACCAAAACCTAAGGTTTCTCGTAAAATAGATTATATTTCTCACATCTTGACATTGGCCCGCTGACTATCGCGTGCTATCCGTTACGAATGATACGGCGATCGTCTCATAGACAGCGAGATAATCATCACCTTGGCTGAAATGATGACACCACAGCTACGCGTGTGCTCTGTGAACCGGAATATCGTCGTTGAATCAGTACTGGTAGTAGTACACCATGAGGGATCCCAGCAATCTGAACGAGACACACGACTGCTGCTTATTATTCACGGTCTCTGATGACTTTTTAAACCATCACACTTATTATACATCATGTCGATCTCAGATACAGCCTTTTTACTGAGTGGCACTAACGGAAACCTCTGAATCTTTCTTTATTTCCAAAACTTACTTTCGTTCAAACTCGGTACAAATAATCAACAGTCGGAGCACGATTAATGTAAGTAGATTGTCTGTGGTCGGTTGTCCCAGTATGGTTTCCTTATTCGAGCACTATTTCACTCAAAGGATTCCAGTCTATGCTACAACGTCGATTCAACATCGCGACGAAAGCTTATGTTCATCTTTCGTGTTTCATGATTACGCATTCATTGATTACGTATCGAGAATGATGGGAGACAACGTACTCTTAATATGACCATCTTTAGTTCACAGTTGTTCTACAGAAACTGGTCGTAATCTACTGCAAGACCGGTATACTCACGTGTGGTTTGTCATGCTCTTCGGAAGTGGATGTGGGGAATGTTTCTGAATGGCGACTCATAACCGCTTTCTATGTAATTCGGAGACGCTTGATTGCTAGGTTTATGGCCGATTTGATGTCTGGAATACAATCTCCATGCACGCAACCATATCGCTCGTGTATGTGTGGGTATTATTACGTGCACACGGAAGGTACAAATCTAACCGAAGAAGAAGAGACGTGGTGTACAGCTTCTAATCCACCGATGCCTCAGGATGAGTGTGTAGTTGCTTTCATCTTGTACTTAATATTGTACACAATTTGGGTACAGGCCACATATCATCGTTACTAATTAGCTGAATAATCAACAAAATTAACGACTTCGGTCTGTCTGGTCATGCATCTGATTATTCACTTTTCGAAGTGATAAGCAACTTTTTTTCCACTAATAAGGGGCGTTTTGAAAAGAACTTGAGAAAAAAAAGGGCACTTGAGATTATAGTTGCACTTCAACACGGAAAACTATTCCTCTCCATGTCGTGTTCATATCAATTTCCTTAAATCATTGAAAGATTAAGCGCCAAAGGTTGAGGGAGCAGCGGTGATTGCAAATAAAGTGAAAAGAAAATGGAAGGTAGAAGATTGTCGAAAGACTAATGACGACCTCATTCCGAGCAGAGTTCCTCTCGCCTCATTATCAACATATTCTTTCGTTAATAACATCTTTTCAGACACAGGTGTTCTTTTCGGGAGTAATTCGACACCGTCCCATCAGGGCGATACATCTCCCATTCCTTCTCAGCCATCATCGAATCATATGCTAATCATTCGAATAATTATCGGGCTCGAGTGCGCGAATCTGTTGTTTTGGCCGGGGGCCAAATGCTCTCCAGATTTCCAAGGACTGCCTAATTTGTGTGCTAACTAGCGTAAAGGGAATGTAAAGTATTTAGCTGTTTTTGAACTAACTGCCACCAATTGAACCTTGTTGAAAAGTCTCGGAAACAATCTCCTGCCATAATGAAGCACTATTTCAATATTCGAGTTGAAACGGTTGAAGATTTACTTCACTACTAAAGCGTTGTTGTTGTTTTAGTAGAGCAAAAAAGTTAATAGCAAGGTTTAGTTTTAATCTAATATTATTGACAGCTCAAAGTCTCATTGATGACTATGGAAATAAAATATCATGATTGACGAGAAATCGGAACGCGCACTAAGGAAACGACTGTAATTGTTTGGCTAACATATTTGTGACATTCGATACTGGAGTAGGAGGTTGGCGTGTAAGCACTTGGAATGATCGTAAGTGGCTCGTCGAAATGAGCACATCTCATCGGCATATTTAGAAAAATTGATAGCTCTGACAAGAAACCACTAAACAAATTCAGCTACTCATTAGCCTATGTCTTCCTTATTTATTCCACATTACTTCGTTTTTAGGGCGCATTTGGTGCAGTGCAGTTTAACAATGATAAATTACACATGATTTATGATTTGCTAGCGGTGTCGTACTGACAAAGTACTAATGTTTCAGTCAGCTCTGTCGAAATCCGACCACATCACATTTCCGACTGCGCTGCAGAGTTTAGGCGGTTGTTGTTGTGATATGATCGAGACAAGGCTGAACTGAGTTCAGTGTGTAATATGGTGTCAGAACACATGTCACGAAACACAACGCCTGTTCGTGGCTTAAATTATGATGATAGCACGAACGATCTGAAACAGGTTGATGGGGGACACTTGTTGTCGATACCACAAGTGCTCTTTCAGATTGCACAAGAATGGTTAGAGCGACAAGTTCGAGAGTGGCTCAGTTGTATGGAAAGAGACGAAGAATATTAAGAACCAGTTGCTCTGTAACATACAGGAGATCGAATTTAGAATCTGCACTTATTTTTTGACAAGATTTAAGCTCCACCTTAAGAAATAGAAGCGGACGAATAGTGTGAAGCCGAATTTGTTGAGCTAAGAAATAATCAAAGTAATTGAGCATAAAATAGGGCACTCGACTCATGCATAAGACTAATGTGCTTTACTCTATTTCTTGGAGAATTTTGAGAAAGTCCACTCAACTCTTGCATTTCGTGATGCCTTTAGTAGTGAAGGTAAGTGCGTTTTGCTCGTTTCACTGATATGAACTTCGTCAAGACGTTCAAAGCTGTTTTCATGATTCAACAGGACAGTTGTGTTTAGTTCAAAACGAACAATACAATCCTGAGCAGCACAGGACTTAGGCTTTACGAGTAAGCCAGCTTTTGATTTGAACACTTCGCTGCTATGGTGTAACTGCCGTATTCTTCACAGAACTGAGTTTTAAGAAATATTACTGAACGTTATGAATATCAGAAGCAGAGCAATGTGTTGTTAAAAAACGATTTCCTACCATAAAACGATCAGTATGGTTTGTGTTATCGGTTTCGACATAGCTTTTCAAGATAATGTTGATCTGTTGTAGAGATTTGAGGCATTTGCTAAGCTTATAATTGCCTTTAGATGACGGGTAGAATGGCGCAATACGTTCTACGTTCGACTATGGTTGAAATCCAAGCAGAGTAGCGCTAATTGCTTCGTGTCCAATTAAGTATCCGAGATCCAGTGTCTGGATTAATTGTAGCCGATATCCATGAATGAAACTTGAGATGAAGTGCTGATGAAGCCATAGTGATCTTTACTGAGGTCAAGCAGATTTTAGATAATTGTACTTAGTGGGTATATCCAAGCAGAAAGCATTCCTTCTTTGGACATAATACCTACATAGTTAAATAGTTGGCGCTCAATGGCGTTTCGCTCTCGGCACTTATTCCATTCTATATTAGCTGTCTTGCAACTATCCATTCATCTACTGAGATGGTCAGATTCGTGTGTGTTTTTGGGGCTAAGTGGATAACGCTATCCTATCAAGCTTTACTGTTGCCTAGGTTAGACATTGTTTTTCAACCCGGCATAATGATCTAGTTCCTTAGTTTGAACGACAGCATAGGAGAATGAACACTGACATAAAACGCGGTTCGCTACGCAAAATTTTCTCTTTACCGCAATGAATTTCCGGACTACCACACGAAAAATACTTAGACAATAGGTGTTTGTTTCCGAAAACTACAGCTTGGTAGTAAAAGAAGATACGTTTAACTGTCTAGCAATATATCCTGCTGTCCCAAATTTTGGAGCGAGGAGTCTTCCCGTCATTGCAAAACAAGGTGGTTGCAGTGATATATATCTCAATAATCATTCATTTAAAAGCCTATAAAATGATCCGTCAATCAAGCAATTTTAACCTCATAGAGATTTTCGCTGCGACATAGTTTATATGAGGCTTGGAGGACGTAGTGAACACTTAATTTATTCTATGATTCTCATTGTCGAAGTGTTACCGCAGTGCCTTCATGTATCGTCTGTCGTATCGATAACATGTAACTGCTTTGCCGTTTCTGCAAAATCACCTCTACAGAGGTGTTGCCGGATGAGCTTCATAGGAGAGAAGGTCAATTGAGGCATGATAATTACGGTAGCGCGAATGGCGGCATCGGTGTGGTCTGTAATGTTCCGTCTTTTCAGGACGAGTTCAATTGAGGATCGACAAGTCGGTTTATGCTAATGAGGTGTGTTGAGGTCTATTAACACCTGAAAAGGGTTAGCGTCGTATCCGCCGGAAGTGTATGTGGATTTATTGCTTCAATTT